CTAGAGAAGCAAATCGAACATCAGAATTTCGTGTCCTTTATCTGATATTTTAAGTTTTTTGATTACATTATATCTTGAGAACAACAAGTTATTTTCGCATCGGATTTCAAAATCTGCCGGACATACGTACCGTGAGAAAAAAAACACAAAAACTGATCTGAATTTTTCTTTTTTTTCTGATGGATTTCCTTTATATATGTTTAATCAAGCAATAATAATAATAACAATAATTAGGATAGCAATACATGTATATTATTATCGGGTATTAAATTCAGTGTAGTTGACAAATAGGGGTCTTTTTTTAATAAAGAGCAACAGAGACCAAGGGTCTCAAACTTGAGAATACAAAAGGGCCATTTCGTGCTGATGGAGAGGTGCAGCGCTATCAAAAGCAGGTCTGACGCCAGGGTATTACAATGGACAGGACAACAACTTTCCAACCAGGAGGACGCGAACCCTGCTGATAAGTTCCCAACTTTAGGGTCTGCGGTATTCCTTAGCGATATGTTCACAAATAGGGTTCCACAGACCCACAAAGCTGAATTAAGTCAGTTTGATATTTTTCAGCAGTAGGAATTGTGAAAGAGAGAGAGAGAGAGAGAGAGACAGACAGACAGACAGACAGACAGACAGAGAGAATGTGAGAGAGATAGAAAAAATGCGAGGTAGATAGATAGATAGATAGATAGATAGATAGATAGAGTTATGATGTTAATTTGGGGTTAATAAAGACAAACGCCAAATAACATGTAACAATAAAAAGGGGTTTATTCGGTTGGTAAGTTGGTACAGATTATCACCTGAGTAGTCTATAACTAACTCAGCCCAGAACTTCTCCGACACTGTCTTTTGACATGCCACTATTTAACGTCCTTGTTTGTAGACGAGTTCATCTTCAAGAGGGGTGGTAGGTTCCTACACAACAGATAGATAGATAGATAGGTAATATTTTGCACGTATTTCAGCCGTCCGTGTTTAAGTAGATCATTTAAAAAGAGCAAAATTTACGCGTAGTTTAAAAAAAAAAAAAGGATCATCAGTTATCAAACGCGTGGCAATGGCCGTATCACTTAATTCAGTTCACGTCCTTGAGCATCAAAATCAAGTTCCATTCCCTTTCCAGAAGAAATAACTCGGTTCACACTATTCTTCAATCGTCCGGTTCATATGCCTTTTCTATCGCCCGCATCACACTCCTCCCCGTTTTCTTTTTGACAAGAATATAAGTTTGTGCCTTGTTTCCTGTTTATCATTGGGTTTCCAGTTCCTCCTAAAGTCTGCTCGAACTTCTAACGTCTCCACCTAAACGCTGAAATTTTATTTACTAATTATTTTTCTCCTCAATCGGAATAGATAGGTTCGCTTCTTGTCCGGCTCAGACAGGAGTAGTTTATCTCTTGTTTCCTATTTAAACTTTTTTTTTAATTCTCTTTCACTACCAGTAACACTTCGTGTCTTAGTGGCATTATCGCCCTGGTTGGGGTGATTTTTTTTTAAAAATGAGTAAACATAACAGGCCTCACTGGCCTTAAAATTGATTAACTATCCGGTTCGTTGGTACTTGTTGGATAGGTCGAGCTCAATACTGTTACTGCAAATACATGGAAAGGTCCAGGAAAAAAATTATTAAACATTAAAGATAACATTAGCTATATATATATATATATATATATATATATATATATATATATATATATATATATTGAATAAATTACAAACATTATGTATGCTTATTTTTAACATAATCCTTTCATATTTACGAATATTTTTCCGTATATTACAATTAAATAAGGCAAAAAAAATGAACTGTAACAGTGAGAATCACTTTTATTTCCCAAGTACTTCCCATCTCTTTTTGAGATCGTCATCAGGGGTGCAACTAGTCAGGCAAAAACTATGTGTAGCTATCGATTACTGAATTTTTTTCTTTTTGCATTTAAATGCTATGGATGACAGTTATGCTTTAGCGTTCTTTAGAACGTGAATATTTATCCATTATGGATTTTTTCTTTTTTTTCTTTTCTTTTATGTTGTACTGTCATTGTCGAGCGTGCATTAAGACGTGAAAGCTGTTCTTTTTATAAGCAAAATACACGAATATATATTGGACCATCTTTGTCTTTATTAAATTAAAGCAACCCTACGAAGTTTAGAACAGCTAATGATCAAACATAATAGACATTCATTGTCCGTTATATTTAACAATATATGTTTCAATAATGATCTGCTGTCCCAATACACTAAATTCAAGTTACATAATGCGGCAGCATTAAACGATCCCAACAGCCAAAAATTTTCAATGGAACTTCATTAAACGGGAAATAAACAAAGACAGGAATTACAACGGCTCAACACTGAAATTATACGTATTAAAAGAATCTTACAATCTTCTACCACAACTGAAAAATTCAAGGAAATATTGTATTTATTATATAATAAAAAACACAAAAGAAAAATGAATCCCATAAACAAGTCATCCCAAAAAAGCTAAACGAATTATATAAAGGAAAATACTTTTACCAAACATCAACGACAACTTCATTAACCTATCAAATTACCAACTCACTCCAAATGAAATGGAATTCCTTAAACTGGGACCAAATTTTCATGTCACACAGAAACCTAATTTAAATTTTAAACAAACGCAAATTGAAGCTTTATACCAACAAATATTTCTATTGGGACAAGACAGCCATATTACTACATAGGTAGGTTTAAAAGAATTACTTAAAGCCGAATTATAAACATTCCTTTAAAAAAAGCACAACTAAAAAATAACAACAGTATTTTTATCCAACGAGCTGATAAAACTAATACTTTCGTTATTTTAAATAAACATGAATACCACTTAAAATTACAGGCCATTTTAGACGATCATAATAAATTTAAAAAGTTAACCAATAACACCAGCTCCCAACTTAAAAACCATATCAATAAACTTATTACCGCTAACAATGCTGAAACAGGATCTTATAAACTTCAAAATATTATAGGTGACTACCAGTATATTATCTTTCAAAAACCCTTAATAAAATTAATTACTCCCTACTTCCCAAGTAGATACTGTATTAATTCCACAAATGAATTTATACAAAACCTGTAAAACCAAACAACCAAATAATCGCATCTTTGAATGTACGAAATTTATCTACTAATGTCCCCGTCTATGAAACGATTGACATTATCCGTCATTATCCATGATGTATACAATCACACTCCTCTCCCACCCATCAATATTGAACCCACTATTTAAAAAAAAATATTAGCATATACCACGGAAGTACCTTTTCATGACCCCCTAGGTTTGTACTCAAATAGACGGTATGGCGATGGGATCTCCTTTAGGCCCCCTTTTTTCTAATTATTATATTGCACATTTAGAAAATTAACTACTTAATGACACTAATAAACCCCTATATATGTAAGATACATAGATGATATTTTCGTTTTAGCTAAAAATATCGATCAAATTACACAAAAAAATTAAAATATATCTCAATAAACTTAATACTACCTCTAACAAAATTGATAATATGAATAATAATATTGTACGTCAAAATAAACATAATACTATTAACTTATACTATTGTAACCAAATGCATAATAATTACAAACAGAATGAAACAACACTCAAAAACATAATAGGTAGAAATGTTAAATCCATTAATAACAATAAACAAGTTAAGCTCATCATATATTCTAAAAAATTGACCTCATAATCTCTAATAACCCTACAACCACACAACTAAATCCTCTACAAAAAACCCAATGTAGTTTATCAATTTACATGCACGTTCAAAGATTATATCTCTGGTACTAATAATAAACACGCTACATATATTGGTTTTACTACAACCACTCTCTCCCATAGACTTACCTGTCACCTTTCTGATCTTAGTTCTATTAAACAACATTTCTTAGAAAAACATAGGCATGTATATAATATCAAAGAGATAAAGTTGATAACACATCAATGCTCACACATACACGCAATAAAAAGGACCTTCTGATATTGGAGGCCATATATATTAAAATAAAGTAACTCACACTCAACAAAATTACATCTAAAACTAGACACAACACATTACAGTGCATCTAGACACAAGGTTCTGTTGTGTTAATATATCGTTCTCTCACGTGGTATGGCGTCATAGAACCGCATCATGAACTTACGACCTGCGTCTGCTATTCTGCGACCGTTATTGTCGCATAGCAATCTTCTATGCCAACATAACAGAATAATCTTTGATGGTGATTATCTTGGTTTAAATGTCCGTATAACCACTCTGAAGATGGCTTATTTGAGCCGAAAGCTTAGATCAAGGAACACCATAATAAAAAATATCCAAATGTTGGACAGTTTTTGTCTTTATTTTCACCTGAATTTAAAGCAACCATACGAAGTTCAGAACTGCTCATGATCAAACATATAGACATTCATTGTCTGTTATATTTAACAATATATATATATATATATATATATATATATATATATATATATATATATATTCCTCCTTATCCCTCTCTCAGCACCTTATTCGAGGATTGGAAAATATATTGAAAATGAAAGACATCCTTTGTTGGTTCTTTTTAATCATACTTGTTTGGATGAATACTTGCTACTAGGGGTACACCGATTAATCGGCAGGTAATCGGTAATGGGCCAATTTGCTTATCGGTGCATCCCTACTTGATACCTAAATATACAATAGATAGATAGATAGATAGATAGATAGATATAATAAACATATAGTGTTCAATATATGCTATATTTATGGGTAAAAGTGCAAAATATCAGAGACAAAGCGAATGTAAATATAAATATGGACACTGGGGTCAACACTAAATAGGTTAAATCAGTTTCATGCTTGAGCACAATCTTCAAGTCACACACACACACACACATATATATATATATATATATAAAGAAAGAACAGTAAGATATATAATCCGGTGTTCTTATAGATATTTTTATTTTTACAAAATAGTGCTCAATGTAAATTTACAGAGCATTAATATTATTATGGTTAGAACTGTGTAGCGAAAAAAACATATTTTAAATCAATTAATATATATATATATATATATATATATATATATATATATATATATATATATATATATATATATAGAGAGAGAGAGAGAGAGAGAGAGAGAGAGAGGAAGGAAAAGATGCATGACAAAATGAAAAAAAAAGTTTTTATGCGACGCGTTTCGTCCCTTTGGACTTCATTGGATGAGGTTTGTTTATATTTATGCAACTACACATAATGTGTTACGTTAAATAACAAAGATGGTGGAAACAACAATAAAAATAAAAATAAATGAAATTGTCTCATATACGCAAAAAAATACAATTTATGGATTTAAAAATTTAACCGTTTCTCGTTCGTGCGCATGCGTAGTCGTGTCAACAAAAACAAAGCGTCTAGTTAGCAAGGTCAAATTACTGTTTTTTTTTTACCTTGCTAACCAGACGCTTCCTCTGTAGCTAAGTAGTATAGCACGTCAGCCTATATGACGGTCCGTATAAGATACAGGTTCGATTCCTGTCAGAGGACCCATATTTTCTATGAAATTTCTCGGTTATTCAGGCCGGTAAATGCTGTTAATTCTGTTTATTATAAACAGAGCATTTACTTAAATACTTGTATCTTTAAAAATAACGTATAAACAGAATATATATATATGAAGAAAAATTTGGAAAAACAAACAAAAATCCTTAAATGCAATTATGTTGTTTAAAATGAATGAAATGTCGACGTTTCATTTTAAACAACATAATTGCATTTAAGGATTTTTGTTTGTTTTTTCCAAATTTTTCTTCATTCTGTCGGATCTATATCCATTTACATTTGCTTACATATATATATATATATATATATATATATATATGGGGGGGTAGTCCGAATGTTTTGTCACCCCTATGTGACAAAATTTTCTCTTTCATATGGCCGACCCGATCTCCTACACAAAAATGATGGCGTTCATATAGACCAGCTCGATGTGTGACAGCGACAATGAAAGTGAATAAACTGAATCTCCTACACGTGCTTTGTATTACTGTATTACTTGTTCTTCTATTGTTCTCATTACTTATTTGTTAAGGGATAGCACCTCGAGTCGGTGTAATGGTTAACAAGCTTGTCTCGCTAGAACAAGTACGACTGAGTAGTGAGTTCGATCCTCACTGGGTGCCACCTATATTCAGCCTTGTACTACATCTAAGCTACACTTGGAAAATCACTACTTATTTGGTTGGGGGTGACATGACTTTCAGGCCACCTTGTATATACATATGCGTTGTGTATTTAGGTAGCAATCCCTCTTTTATATATGTTTCATTACAAATGACTGGTAAGGTAGTGCGGTTAATTTTTTTTTAATTTTTCTTGTGTTCTTATAATTTTCTTCTTTTCTGGGTATTAATTATATATAAATGTTTTTAATGTCCGAGCGCCTTCGATGCTTTCTTTAGCCATTATCATGGAAGATTTTATTTTTATTTTTAAATGAATGTACGGATTGTTTCGTGTATGTACCTAGAGTTATAGAATGTTTTTAATTTCCAAACCCGGTCAGTACATACTGGTTGATAATGCAAATATAACAGCCTCATCCAAATGTTAAAAAAAGGCTAAACATAATGGGAGCAACCCTGAATAATATCAGCTATGAATATGATCACATTCTTTTTTTTTCTAATTCTTTCAGAAGGGAGTAAAGCCCCCAAGACACAAGGGGTTTCTGGGTGTGAAAGAATTAGAAAACAGAAACATTACTAAGGAGCGAGAAGAATAGAAGACTAATCAAGAAGACAGTAGATAGCGTTTGATATTGCATTTAAATTTTTGAAGATTAAATTTGACTGGAAACATGGAGGCGGAAGAGGGAAAAGTGCAAGAAAAGAAACTGTTAGTATAGAATTTACGGTTACATCTAGCCAACTCAACAGTAAATTGGTGAGACTTTGTTGCCAATCTAGTACTGCGCTTAAATTCATAAAGTCTAGGTACCACAGCGTAGAGCTCATCCGAACAATTACCATGAAAGTATTTAGAGAAAAGGCACAGGGGGGCAACTTTTGGGCAGTGGAAAGTGACCGAAATCGTGACGTCAGGTCAGGACCAATAATACTGCTGATTATTTTTAGGATTTTATGAAGGATCTTTAAATATATAACAACAGCATCGGATCATATGCGGCAGTTATTTTTTAAGCATGGACAAATAGTAGACTTATAGATATGTAAGATAGATTCCGGAGTGAAACATTGTCTCGCATGACACAGAAAACTAACTAAACAGACCTAGCATTGGATTCAATATTGTCTTTCTACTTCACGTCAGCCGCGGATGTTAGCGCGGGAAGGCACAACGAGTCACTCTTCTGAAGGCTAGCATCAGCCATCATTGCAGCCAGTCTAAATAACAGTAAAATCTGCATTCCAAAACACCAGGAAAAACAAGGGGAAGATACTACGCTATCTTTCCCAAGAAGGAATGGCAATTCGCAAATAATAAACAAACAGAACCTATTATTGATTGATTGATTGTTTTTTTTTTACGGTTTATCAACCCTTTACAGGTTATTTAAAGCCAGAAAATATTTTGGATGTTAAGAATTCTTCTTTTTTTTGTTGAGCATAATGGTGCAATTCTTACTTATTAACCCATAGCTGTGAGGAGAAGGCATATTCATATCTTTTCCAAGGGTAAGTGAATATAAAGACCCCACCCGGAATTGGATCGCGGCTCTCCGATTAACAATTCCGAGCCATTATCTGTTGCACCATCCGCACATCCAAGCTTACAGCACCTGGAATTTCCAAACTGTGACTCATCTAGCTACTGATCAATCAGTACGTAGATGGAACTTAAATTCAGTGATCGTAGAGGAACCAATGTTTCAACGTGTTATGGCCGTAAACATAACAGAATTTGTGGGGAGCCATGATAAAGGAACAGGACATTGTAAAAAATAAATTGAAGTCGAAGAATGTTTATAATTTGTTTTTAATTGAATTTAACACATGGGTAAATTGTTAGTCTTTTAGTAAGGCCAAGGGTTATTGGATGTTATTAAAATAAAAAGTAAATTAAAAAAGAAAATGGTTAAAAACGAAAACAAACAAAAACTGAACCAAACGGCATCAAATTTCACAATACTTCGCAGTGGATTTAGTTCATTTGCTGACCTACAACTTAATTTCATCTCCGTCCTTTGACCTCCAACTTTAGGCTACAAAAAACAAAAAACAAAACAAAAAAACAAAAAAAAAAGCAACCAGGCGATCTTTGTTCCCGTGCGTCGGAGCGGGAGAGACTGAGAGGAAATGAAATGTCGATAAAAGTGAAAAGTCCAATATTTCGTTGAAATTTTATCACGTCCACACCCCACTCCAACACATGCACACAGACTCACTCGCGCATGCGCGTGCATACAGAGTGTGGGAAGGGGTAAGTATTCAATAAACACCGCAACTCGAGTTTAATACATTATTTATCGACACAGACAGTATGTATTTTTATCATAATAATAACACATATAGTATGAACAAAACTTTCATCAAATAGATTTATATCATACATTTATGTGTCGTATCCTTTCAAGACGTGGATGATCATGGCTCTTCACAACTTTCTTTCCTTTGTAGCACTTAGCAACTTTTGTTTTTACTAGGTTTCGCACTCCTCTGCCATCCAGTGACGCATGCTTGTTAGGACGATTACTCACCGCATTCCTATCTGGAATACGTCTTATGAGTGTCATATTCTCCAAGCCGCTTTTCCTGATTAATCGTCCCAGAAATTTTAACCGTCTCTTTCTGATCATAAGTATAAATGTCCTTTTTGTTTCCACTTTTCTTATCACTTACTCGTTGCTCACATTTTCCGTTCATATTATTCTCAGCATCCTTCTCTAAAATCACGTTTCTTTTTTCCCCAAGTCTCCATTTGTGAGGAGATTGTCCAACATTCACTGCCATGTGGAGTGATTGACATTATATAACAGTTCAACACTCTTTTCTTTATTTTTCTAACGATATTTTCGTGTTTCATAATACTTAGCTTTTTGAAGGCATCTTTTTCTATTCTAATGTACCTTAGCATTTTTCCACCATCTTATCTGACAGGTAAATTTATGCAGCTTGTAGCTCCCATTTTACTGAAAAATCATATATTATCTTCTTACGATTGATAGTACTTTCTTTCCGCTTACCTTTGGTAATTTACCCAGGAATTCCTGCAGTATACTTTCTATGTCTGCCATCAAAACAGTTTCATCTGTATATTTTATGTTGTTATGATTGTCACCAGCGATAATAAATCCCGGTGGAACACGTAATTCCCTTAGGTATAGGTTAAACAGAGAGAGAGAGAGAGAGAGAGAGAGAGAGAGAGAGAGAGAGAGATAAAGGGAGATAACCTTGGATTCGAAGTCAGTTCTTTATCATTGATAACTCTCTCCTCTAATTTGTGAACCCAAGTTACAATATTCTTGATATAATGCAAAAATATTACAATGATAAAATCAGTCAATAATTATTTATAATTATTTGTACTGGGACTCATGCATTTACAAGTCATCCATAATAATATTTTAAATTTTGAAATCATATTTATTTTTGGAATATGAATTTTTTAAAGACTGTTTCGAAATCTTTGATTGTCTTTCAATCCTTCCGCCTTACCTGCTATCCTCTCCCGCCTCACCTGCTATCCTCTTCCGCCTCACCTGCTATCCTCTTCCGCTTCACCTGCTATCCTCTTCCGCCTCACCTGCTATCCTCTTCCGCCTCACCTGCTATCCTCTTCCGCTTCACCTGCTATCCTCTTCCGCCTCACCTGCTATCCTCTTCCGCCTCACCTGCTATCTTCTTCCGCTTCACCTGCTATCCTCTTCCGCCTCACCTGCTATCCTCTTCCGCCTCACCTGCTATCCTATTCCGCCTTACCTGCTATCCTCGCGCCGCGCCGTTCGGGAATCACTGCAGTAAAAACACAAAAAATAGAAAAGAGAACAAAGTGACTTATTAATTTTAACGCCTCAAAAACGATCTGCTCTCTTTTAATTATCGGAGTGAACTCTTTTTTACCTTCTATCAGCATATGGCTGATGCTAATCTCCAGGAGAATGACTCGTTGCATCTTCTTGGACTAACGTTTGCGGGTTACATGAAGTGGCAAGAATATATTGAATCAATTGCTAAATCTTCAGCTAAGAAAGTTGCTTCCTAATGTCGTGCTAGATAGTTTTCCCGCCAGAAATTATCTTACGTATTTATAAGTTTAACATTCGCCCTTATTCGAATATTTCTGCTACATCTCATCTGGTTCTCCTGCTATATATCCTTAAAAGAATTTGCAATGTTATTAGTCCTGACCTGGCATCTCGCCTTCAGTATCTTTCTCGCCGCTATAGAGTAGTTCCTCTGTGCCTTTTCTGTAAATACTTTCATGGTAATTGTTGCGATGAACTTCCGCTATGGCATCTATATTTATGAATTTAAGCACAGTACTAGATTGGCAGTAAGGTCTCATCATTTTACAGTTGAAATGGTCAGATTTAACTGTAAGTTTTATGCTAACAGTTTCTTCTATCGCACTTAACGATTTAGTCAACGCTAATCGTTATCTACTGTCTTCTTAATTATTATTTTTTATTACCCTCTCCTTAACGGTAGTTTTTTTCTTATATTCTCGAACACTTAATAACTTCTTGCGTCATAGTGGCTTTATTACCTTGCTTGGGGGTGAAATGATTTAAAAAGGGAACAGAATGTATCTTCCCACCGAACTTATTCAACCTTTAGAGTGAGACCAACAGGAGAGAACGAGAAGTCGTTCTAGCATTTATTATTGGCGGAAAGAATCTAAACACAACATAAGATATGGAGATGACATAGTGTTGATAGAATACACGGAAAGGAAACGGTATGAACTCCGAGGAAAGGAAATGCGAAGAAAGGATTAATCATCAATTGTAAGAAGACGGAATAATTGTTTTCAGCAAGTGAAACAGCCAAATGTACGGACAACAAATTGAAGATGCCCGAATCCAGGAATTTCGAAAGTTTTAATATCTGGGATGTGTTTTAACAGAGGACGAAAAATGTGACGCCGAGATCCAAAGACACATCGGATTAACAAAAGTAGTTTCTAAAATTTAAGCAAAAGATTATGAACCATGAATATATTCACACAACATTTTCACACAATGTTGGCAATACTGACCTGCGCAATCACTGAAATTTTCTTACTGATCTGTGCAATGTCAAACTGGCGCCATATTTGCACGGTGATTTGAGCGTGCCAAATTATTAGAAAAGTGTAAGAAGTTAGTGAAAAGATGGGCCGTAAAAGCAGTTTAAGTGATGCTGAAAAGAAAACTATCACCTCAGAACTCTCAAAAGGTAAATCTACCCTAGAATTTTCTAAAATGATAGGGAGGTGTCATCAAGAAAAAAGTTCACCGCCGACCCTACACAAGTACACAAAAGGGCAGATAAAGGCAAGCCGAGAGTTATTTCACGTCGTCTCATGTCACGACTTGAACGAGAGGCCACGAAGAACCCTGGACTTACCAGTCAAGAGCTTTTCAGTCGCATCGGGGATCCTACTGTGTCTAAAAGTACTCGGTGTCGGTATCTGAGGGAAATAGCAACAACAGTCAAACCTGTATCGAAGCCTCCGTTGACGAGAAATCACATTCAAAATCGATTGAAATGGGCCGAGGACAATATGAAGATTGACTTCTCTAAAGTTTTGTTCACAGAAGAAACTCGAGCAACACTTGATGGTGCCAGATAGATGGTGCAAAGGCTGGGTAATGAACGGACAGAATCGCCATCAGCGTTTGAGACGCCAACAAGGCGGTGGAGGCATAATGATCTGAGGTGGTATTATCGGAAAAAACATTAGTGGTACTATGGAGAGTACCAGATGGCGTCAAAATGACTGCTGATGCATGCATAGCGTTTATGAAGTAGCATCTTGAACCGTGGATGAAAAGGCAAAGAGTTGCCTTCAGAAGGGCCATTGTTTTTATGCAAGATAATGCTCCCTCACATGCTGCTCACAAGACTACTGAATATTTGAAACAGTTAGGCTTCGATGGACCTCGAAAAATGAAGTAGCCAGCAAATTCTCCGGATTTGAACCCAATCGAAAACCTTTGGAGCATCATGAAGCGAAGACTGTACGCCAACGGACGACAATTCAGGAGCAACGCTGAGTTGTGGGAAGCAATTCTTGACATATCTCGCGGCATTACAGCAGATGACATCCAACAATTAACAAATTCTATGGATCATCGACTTCTTCAAGTAATTTCAAAACAGGGAAAGCACATTCCCTATTAATTTGTTTAAAACTGTGCCTTTGTTTGTATCTGTTATTATTTGTTTGATTATCTTATTCATTAGCTTCTTTTGATCATAAACATTCACGTGCAACATTAATAAACGTTTTGTTTGATCAATTCTGGGAATTTTACTAAACCTTTATAATAATTTGGCACGCTCAAATCATTATGCTGATAACAAATATGGCGCCAGTTTGTTTACACTGCGCAGATCAGTACGAACATTTCAGTGATTGCGCAGGTCAGTATTGCCAACAGTGTGTGAAAATTTTGTGAATTGATTGGACGGTTTTTGAAATATTAGAAAAAAAGTTCTCTCGATAATAATTTGGCACGCAGTGTATATATATATATTTATGCCACGAAAATTCAAAATACAGGAATCCCTCGATTAATGCGTTTTCGATTATTGCGCTAAAATTTTTATATACCAAAATTCGATTAGTGCATAAATAATATTCGATTGGTGCGGTAAAACATACTTCATTTTAACCATAGTAATTGAAAATTGTTTTTTTTTATAGTTACCGATTAATTAAAAATTTTCTTAAATTTAAAAAATTGAAAATGGGTAACTATTTTGTTCGTCAAATATTAACTTATCTAAGAAATTACAGTAGTGTTAAAAATGGATAAATAGATAAATTTTATAATATAAGCCAATAATAAACGTATTTGAATATTTCTCTCAATCAAAATTTTTTGAATATTTTTTCATGTTTATTTTGAAGGTCTTCAAAAAAAATTTCTGATTTTTGATAAAAAATGGACGAATTAATTTGATACAGAAATTTATATTTATTAAAACAATATCGAAATAGAAAAGATGTCTGCATTTCCTATGGAAAGATTATTAATAAAATTTTCACGTTAGAATACTAATGATTAAAATATGCTTGGAAAATTTGGAGGTTAAATTTATCAGTACCGCCAATTATATGAAGAACAGAAGAATACAATGTGGCAAATCACTTTAAATAATTTTTTTTCATAAAAATCAGATAAATAAGCATTAATTCATAGAATTTTATTGTATCTTCTTATATTTACCTATATTTTAATTAAAAAGAACACAAATTAGAAATTAATTGTGAATAAGACTAAAATTTGAGGGACAAATTACATCATTTTTTAGTTATTTTGGTTCCCTGTGTCACGCCAGAAAGTTTTTCTCGTCGGAGTCTATCCTTCAAATCCATAAATCAACCATTCGACCTTGCATGGAATACTGCCGCCATTATATGGTCTGGTGCCTCCGATGTTAGTCTTAAGGTCCTCGACAAAATCCAGAGACGGATATGCAATGTGATTGGTCCTGATCTGGTATCTCATGTACAGTCACTCTCTCTCAGACGTGTCGTCGCCTCCCTCTGTCTTTTCTACAAATATTTTCACGGTAACTGCTCGTACGAGCTACTTTTGCTAGTTCCCAGGCTGCATGAATTTAAACGTGCAACTAGGATGGCATCTCGGTCCCACCCCTTCACTGTAGAAACAGTTAAAATGTAGCCGTCTCTTTTACTCCAATAGCTTTATGTCTCGTATTTCCCGTCAGTGGGACTCCCTTCCTCTTACTTGCTTCCCTGATAGCTATAATCTCCAACTATTCAAATGTAATGTCAATCGACGTCTCCAGATGCCTTGATCTATTCCCCGTCCTTCTCTTCATCCTTGCCTCGATCAAGCCTCTTTACTATCGCTCCTACTCTCTGTAACCCGTGCTAGTGGCATCCCGCCTTGCTTGGGGTGAAATGCTTAAAAAAATCGATGAATACATTTTTGATTAGTGCGTATCTTTAATGTATACGTTAGCCGTACTAATCGAGGGATTCCTGTAGTGGTAACCAACATAGAGCTTACCAGTTGACCAAAAAAAAAAAAAATGATAAAAAGAAAAAACAACAGTCAATAAAAGAAAAACCAAAAGAAAACCGATGAGGGAAATGAAAACAGAAACTAAAAAGAAAAGACCAAAAGACAGGCACCGCCTACCCAAAACAGTGCTCTATACGAAGATAGAGCAAATACGATCCCCAGTAGTATGATTGTTGACCGTATATGAACTGCAATCCCATTCTAATGGCCTGACGATCGTGGCAGCATAAAACTTAAGCAGCTGTTCGAAAAGGGAGAAAAAAAAAGAATGGAAAGGAATAGTGTGAAGGTATAAGCCGGCAAGAAAATTATGAAAAGAAGAGGCAGCCAGAACATTCTACACAAGTACAGATATAAACACGAACGAGCGTACATACACAAACATATACATGCATACACAGGCGTACACACACCTGCACACACACATACACACACAAAGATGAAAAATTCAACGTAACACCAATAATAAGCGCATAAATTATTTTTTGATTAAATGTAAGATAACGAAAATGAGAAAATCAGCAGACAATTGCTGATAGCCACTGACGAGTGGACCGAACGATTACAAAACGGTTCGTCTGTGAATGCTGAATCAATCAGCTAAGGGACAAAACTTGTATTTGTATCAATCCTTTATATATATATATATATATATATATATATATATATATATATATATATATATATATATATATATATATATATATATATATATATATGTGTGTGTGTGTGTGTGTGTCTGTGTGTGTGTGTGTGTGT